CAGTGTTACCCTGCTCTGTTCTGACTTCTGCCTCTTGGTCCAAGTATAGGTTTCGCATTAGCACAATTAAATGTTCTGGGATTCCCATTCTTCTCTGCATTGAAACAGATGAGGGAGAGAACTGTTTTAAAGGGATATATGATTAGGTATTATTATCATAACAGTAGTCCAGAATAAAGGCTGCACAGTGCAGTGGACTTGGTGGGGGGAGGGATTGCATTGTAATGAAAAAGTTTTTATTTTAGGCATCAAGGAGAAAAGTGAATTGAGAGGTAGGGGGTGGGCAGGGAGGAAAGTGCAACAATGAATGACTGGAAACCTTAAGTCTCTGTAAGCTTTCATTAATATTAATAAAAATAAAGAATAGCAGAGATTGTGAAAATGACTCAGGAGAGAGCTTTGTTTTGATTGAGTGTTGAAAGGGTTACTATGAGTGAGAATCACAAATCAGTGACACCTAACAACAGTGTGAATGTTTTTGTTTCAAATCTCCATTATTTCCAGAAATGGATGAATGGATTTGTGTTCATCAATGGCCACAACCTTGGGAGATATTGTTATACCGGACCTCAGAAAACACTTTACCTTCCCGGGACCTGGCTTCATCCAAAAGACAATGAGGTGAATTTCCAGGACTTCTGCCTTGATGTTTTATCCCCAGAGTATAAATGAGAATATTTTCTCCCTTCTGTAGTAAATTGTTGTCATTGTTAGGTACTATCAATTAGATTATGATGCATACTGACCCTGTGAACAACATTCTGAAACTTTCCCTATCCTGCATCATCCTCATGCTTCCTGAAATGCTTGAGCCCAGTGCTACAGTCACTATGTCACTCAATTTGTAGGGAGTCTTTCTCTCTTTTCTCTGATCCTCCACATTTACTGATATGAAGGAGTGATTCAATATATGTAGTGAATAACCATCTTTTTTTTTAACTTTCAGTCTTTCTTTCTTCCCAGATCATCCTGTTTGAGAAAATAATGAGTGGTTCATACATCCAATCCACAGATAAACCTTGTCTGCAAAACTCTCTTTCAACACGGTTATTGAATTCTTAGAGTTCATCTGTAGAATTAATCTATAATTGAGGAACAATTGAATCAAATTTTCAAACACAATGTTGTTTTAAAAAGAGCAAGAATGTGAAAATAACAAAAATAACACTAAAAGAATTATTTTCTAGATTATGGTGTACGCATACAACTTTTTAGACTTTGAAAACAGCATTACAATGGTAATTGGGGGAGGAAGAAAGAGGAAAGTGTGCATGAACAAATAAATAATAATAATAAAGCAAACAGAACTAAAAAGTCTTCTAACTCTTTAATGAGTTTAACGATGTTATCTCAGTAAAGATTTACTTCTTAGTTCTTATTTTGTAGTCAAATGTGGTTTTAGGCAGATATGAATAAAATTAAAGCAAACTTTATTCTTTCCTTCCTACAGTCGGCTGGGAGGAAGGGAAGGTTCTTCAGCCCAGTGGTGGGTTAGGATTAGTACTTTTTGCATGCTAACTGGCCAGTTGTTCATGTGTGTAGGGAGGGACAGCAGAGGTGGGGCAACAGTGTCTCCAGATCACCCTTGAGTCTGTATACAGTTTCCAAGGTGGTTTAATGGGTCCCATTCAATCAGAGAAAGAACAACAATTTCGTTGTTTAATTCCAACACGTGTAACAGCAAAGTTTGGCTATCTGACTGTAGTAAAGGTCAAGTATTAGTGAAATAAACCACACAGATAGCATAACCCAACCAATCTTCTTGTATCATACCATTGGAAATCAAGTGAATTCTAATACTTAGCACATGGTATTGTTTTGTTGTTGTTGTTAGGTGCTATCAAGTTGAGTACAATTCATAGTGAGCCTATGAACAACAGATTTAAACCTTGTCTTATCCTGCGCCACCTTCACATTTTTTGACACACCAGAGACCATTGCAGCAGTCACCACGACAATCTACCTGGTCAAGGAGGAAGGGAGGGAGGGAGAGAGAGAGAGATGAAAGGGCTTGCTTACTTATAGAGGAAGGCAAGCATTCAAGGCTCATATCCCTGAGTCAGATGTTACACTAAGGCTTCTCATGACTCACATGGATGCAGGGACAGATGAACCCAACAGTGTCTGATAATATAGCAGGGCACTGGCCTGGCTAGAGTAAGTCCAAAGTACTGTAAGTGACTAGCCAGATACAGGATCCAAACTGAGCAAAAATTGTAAATACAGAATAACCAATGAGATGTGCATGGATATACAAAGAGGAGGGTGGAGAGGGGGGTAATCACGTGGTTGCAGAGTTTGGTGCATGGAGGGAGGGAGCAAAATTTAAAAATGTATTTGAATGAAATTAAAAAGGGGGGAAGAGTTTTGCAAGAAATCCCACATACACATCTGATGCATACCATGTCCTTGAGAAGACTCCCTTTACATCACATCAGGGTGTGACTTGAAATAGGTGTTGCTTCTCATTAATCCTTTTATATCAGATTAAAGTTGATCACATGAGATGACATTGTGAGGAATGGCTATGTCATTACATAACCGCCACACTGCAGCATAACCTAACTGCCAAACTAGAGAATTATGACCAACTTGACACATAGTCCTAATCCACACAATCTACCCTTTGCCAACTTGGCACCTACACACATGCATAAACCATGCATAAACTCTAACTTAGATAATTTTAAAGTCTCTCTTGTGCCTAACATGATACAACTAAGAAGCATACACACACAAAAAAATGAACTAATACCTCTTACATTCTAGAAGTGGTGTTGTTGTTGTTAAGTACCATACGTCTAGTCATAGACGACTCATAGTGACCCTATGAACCAAAGACCTGAACACTTGTATAACTTTCATTGTTTCTCCGTGTTCAGAGAGTTTCCAGAGGCAAGCTATTTCAGAAGTGGATGCCACTCCTGCTTCCAGACTTATTTTAATCAGGGAGCTCCACCAAACACTGTCCACCATGGGTAACCATTATTGCATTTGACATGTGAGTGTCATAGTGTTTAGCATCACAGCCAGCACAGGTTATCTCTGTACAACAAATGGACAGATCAGTACTATACCACTTAGAAGAATGTTTGACCTTGTATAAATGAGGAACATAAAAATATTTGATGCAAATTACAAATATAGTCCTATTCTTCTTAAACTGGGCTTTTGGTTGAAGATAGTATTTAGAATAGCTGTCTTCCACTACCCATTCTGTATTCCATTTGCCCTCAGTAAGCACCTGAACTGGTCCCACATATTTTCCTGGAGGACTGATTCAATTTCAACCTGAAGGCCTGAGCCATTAGTAGTCATGCTTGGGTTTAGTTACTGTAGTTTTTCATCATGTTTAACCAATGGACATGGGAATACTAAAATATCTTAGAGGCTTTCCTGTATTTCAGACATATTCTTCTTTGCCTACATTATTTAGTGTCAATTAGATTTTTCCTTTGGAATTCAGGAGCAATCACACCAGACAGTACAGTAATTTTTTTTCTATCCTGCTGGGTCTAGAGGCTTGAAAAGCCTAAAATGACATAGTGACATTCTTAACTTCCACTTCAGTGGAATTAGTATAGCACCTCCAAGTGAATATTATCTTTAAAATAAAAATTTCTGAATCTACAGAGCACAGGGTGGCAAGGACAGGAAGAAAAATTTTGCAACTTGGTCACTAGCAGTAATACTGAGTGATGTCAATGCAATTTTTCAAGGCATTACTGCCTAGCTGGCACAGACAGTAATTATGTCTTTAGAAGGCTACTCCATCGCTCTATATTGCCAGCTACTTCAAGATAATGAGAAGCATGGTAAGACCAGAAAATTGCATGAACATGAGTCCATTGCCATACTTCGTTTCCTGTGAAGTGAATCCCTTGATCTAAGGTGATGCTATGTATGGTGCCTGACAGTGTATAAATCGTTCTGTAAGTCCATGGCAGAAGCAGTAAGTGCAGAGGAAGCAAATCTGTATCCATAGTAAGTGTTTATTTCAGTAACATCAAAATACCACTCTTGTCATCATTAAAGTGGTCCAGTGTAATCAACTTGACACGAGGTTGCTCGCCAATCACCCCAAGAAATTATTCCATCTCTGGTGTTAGTCTCACTGCTAGAAAATTGAACATTCAGTAGTGACTGTACCAAACTTGACCTTGACAAGAGGAAGTTGCTATTGTTGAGCTTTTTGCTTAGCCTCTATCCTTGCTACCATAGCCACTTTGTTTGTGAGCTCATTGGGTGCAATGACAAGAGAGAATAATTGTTTTCCACAGAGTATGTCATGTTATCCATTTAATTGTTCAATCTCCCTCTGCTGCAGTCACCCTGTGGTAAGAATGTACCTTAAACACAAATATCTTCCTTTATTTGTCCCGTTCAGAGAGGCCTATCCACATGTCACCTTCCTGTATCTTCTTATCACTACAATCATACTCTTTCTAAGTCCATGACTATTCAGTCAAATCATCCCCTAACGATCATGAATCCATATACACAACTGACCATTTCTCCTTTAAAGCAACATGAATAACCTAGGTACACTGCCCAAAGTTCTGTCCACTGGGAGAGTTTTCCTTCATAATTGTCCTTCAGGGAACTCCCAGAAAGGGACTGCCATTGTTTACTTCTGTATGGTGCCAGCATATCATATGTTGTTGTTGTTGTTGTTAGGTACCATCAAATGGGCTACAGCTTATAGTGACCCTATTGGCAATCATAGAGAACCCTCTATATACCAGGCATGAATTTTCTCCCCCTCAACTAACTGAACCTAAGGAACTCCCATATACCCATTGGTGCAGAATGGAAGAGGGAATGTGCCAGGAATGGAGATCATGGGCATTTTGTCTACTTCATGTCACTAACCTGTACCTTCAGGTCTTGCTTAAGCCCCATCTCATGTATATAACTTCTATGCAAGATGGAGTGCTGTCATACATAGACAACTTTATGATTCAATTGTTCAGAAATGCCCAGCATAGTGTGAACATCAGTTTATGATGGGCAGGTGGCACATGGTTAGACACACAATTCAACTAAGTTTCAGCAGCATTCTAACAGCTGTTTTTCAAAAGGAGAGAAGTTATCCGCCACAGATGGCAGAACTTTGCTCCAAATTCTTAAAGGTCTGCCCTGTAATATACCAACAGGGCCTGCCAAAGGCCTCCAAACAGCATTTCTTATTGCTATGACCACTTTAAGGAGCACTGGATCAACCAGGTCATTAATCAAGTGGCAAAGCAGCTTGCATGGCAGTCTGAGCCTATTTCAGAGGTTTTTCCTATTTTAGACCCCACTCAAAACTAGCAACTTTTCGAGTCACATGATAAATAGCACACCTAGATACGGAATATGGTGCCTACAAAATCCAAAGACAAATACTAGCCTGTGCCTCTTTTTTTAGTTTTGGAAGGGATCAGATGCAATAAACTTTTTTCTTTCTTACAAAATTTTTATTTTATACTGGTTTACTTACAAAGTTCGTTTCACACTGGATCTTTCCCATGTCATTTATGCACCCCTCCCTCCACCCATCAAATTATATGACCCTATGATTAAGCTCCCCCTAAAAAATCCTCACACCTCTGTTCCTTGCTTTGTGCCTTGGATCCATGTACATATTCTACAATAATGATCTTATATTGTATTTGTCCTTATGGGACTGAGTTCACTTAGCATAATGCTCTCTGGTCACTACAAAGTAGGGTTGTAAATTACAAAATCATTGCTCCTACACGCTGCATAGTATTCCGTTGTGTGTATATACCATAATTTCTCAATCCATTCCATTGCGTTTCGACATTTGGGCTGTTTCTGTGTTCTTACGATGGTGAATAACACTGCTATGAACATTGGTGTACAAGTATTCATTTGTGCCTCAATCCTAATTCTCTTGGGGTATATTCCAAGCAGTGGAATAGCTGGGTCATAGGGAATTTCTGTGTTCAGCTTTTTGAGGAAACGGCTGTCTTCTAGGATGATTGTACCATTTTACAATCCCACCAACAATGTATAAGAATTCCTATCTTGCCATGTCCTCTCCAACATTTATTACT